ACTACATTAAAAATAAACACGGTAAAAATTGTGACAGAGAAGGCATGATAGGATATAGGAAATGTAAATAGCCCAGGGCACAAGAGGAGATACCATAACTGTTTAGCACACGTTTGGTCAAAGTATGGGCTTCATTTGCCTCTTTGATGAGTTGTAATATGGTGCTACGAATGGCGAGACTCATTGACGATGCCGGTGAAACGTCTGGGAATGTACCATTTCCACGTTCCGACTTTGGAAATGATGATGCATGCAATGGACTCCGGACTAGGTGCATTTCTCTAATTATTTCTACCAGTATGACCAAGTTGCGAAAACAAGGTCAAACAACTTCACTATTGAAGAAGATCTGTTTTGTAAAAAATATCACTGCAGGAGCGAATACTCAGGATCTTTTCGAGATTCTTGATACATTTATATATGAAAATAATTTGAATAAGCCTATATGCGTTTGTGTTCGTACTGATGGAGCTCGCTCCATTTATGGCTGCTATGGAGGATCACAGGCGCTTATTCGAAGCAAATCACCAAAAGCGCTTTTGTCAAAGCATCTGAATCCTGCACTGAATCAGGTGTTAGAATGTGGTAAATTTTATAAAATCTCGTCCATTGAAAACAAGGTTAATTAAAAAACAGTGGAGGATATGGGAGCTGAACACTCGTCTTTGTTGTATTCTAGCAGTGTACGATGGCTCTCTCGTGGTAATGTTTTTCACGTACCTTTAAATTGCAGCAAGTAATTTTTATTTTTCTGAAAGAAGAAGGATAAAAAGATGCAGAATATTTTGCCGATGCCGATTTTTTAATAAAACTAACATATTTATGCGACATTTTTGAAAAGCTAAATTTCATTAATCACTCTCTACAGAGAAAGAACATGCACCTTTTGAAATCAATGGAAAAAATATCAGCTATTATTAAAAAAACTCAAACTATGGAGAAGAAAATTGAATGAAGATAGAGACAAAGATTGTTTTTCAATATAACAGCAATTTTTTGACGTCAAATGAACATGATCTTTGTCGAGATATAAAAACCATGTTTGAGGAGCACTTATCACAGCTAATTAACTGTAAAATATTTTCAAAATGAAAATTTTGATAAGTTTGCATAGATTCAAGATCCACTTTAAATTAGTTTTCCGTCTGAATTTACTTTGCAGAAGAGAATCGTATCGAGTTAACTTGCGATAACAGTTTTAAAGCAAAATTTGACAGCATGGAATCGACAGAATTTTCGATTTCAATAAAAGATGAATATCGCCTTATAAGTGATTAGGTTCAGCAGATTCTAATTCCATTTTCGACGTCGCATTTGTGCGAAGATGGGTTTTCGGCGGTCGCTGTAATAAAAAGCAAGTATAGAGCAAAAATCTACGTGGAAAAGGAAATGAGAGTGGCCGTGTCCAGTTTAATTCCACGATTTGAGAAAATGTGCAATAATTTGCAGGCTCAATTATCACATCAATTATAAAATATTAATTTAATGCTAATAAAGTTTTTTTTAAAGAATGAAATTACACGAGTTTTATTTATTTTTATCTCTTACTTACGAGTAATCATACTTATCGAAAAATTTTAATTTAAAAAGGGCGCCGCGACTAGGAAAAGTTTGGGAAGCACCGCTTTAACCAATTGTCTCATAACAATTGCAATATCTCTGCTGCCCCGGGCTATTCACTAATCCTATATCCTCGTATCACCTCTTCACAATCACAATTACTTAAATGTTTATTTAAATGTAGTATGGCGTGCACTTTTGAGCGGTTTTCATAAGTCTCCACACCACACGCTGGCTTTCTCACTCCCTCACCTCCCTTCACCGTTGTGATTAGAATGCTGATCAGTCTGCCATATTATTCCTCAATCCTCTAATGCTTCTTATAATGCTTCGCCCTATAACTTCCTGGCTCAGGTATTTCACTCGAGGCCTTATTTACCAAACTGCCTTTGATGGCACACATAGTCTCGCCTCGACTGAAAGAAATCTAATGAACAGAAGAGCTGAAGAAGGCAGGATCAGCGAAAACTTTGCATATTGTCTAAACAAACTCGGAGAAGACCAGTCAACAGTAAGATCAGCAAAAAGAATACGATTGGATCAAGGTAACATCTTTAATTTTAGGAAAAGAAATCGCAAGGAGACTGGAAAGGAACAATCATGAAATCCACTCAAAAGGGCACACAATACCACGCTTAAATAAGCAATAAAGGAATTGTGATAGTGAAGGGATGATACGAGGAAATAGGATTGGTGAATAGCCCAGAGTAGGAGAGATACCACGACTGTTTAGCAGAAAATTGGTTAAGTGATCGACTTCATTTGTTTTTGTAACGAGTTGTAGTATGGTGCTAAAAATGGCAAGGCTCGCTGACGATGCCGGCGAAACGTCTGGGAATGTACTACGTCCGCGGCCCGACTCTTGCAATTAAAATGCATACTATGGACTATGGATTAGGTTCTTTCCTCTAGGTCTTCCTACCAAGATGACCAAGTTGCGAAAAAAAGGTCAAACAACTTCTATAAATTTAGTTTTCTAAATACAAAGTCTTGTATGTGTAATTAGACTTACCAAAGATTGCGGCGCAGAAAAATCTATCATAAGCCTTGGATTGTTGTTTGATGAAAGTAACTTTCCGAACTAAATGAAAAGTCCACTCACAAGAGCACTGGACCGTCAGAATTAGGTGGGACAGATAAGGTGAGAGAGCACTTGATTCAGAACTAAACAATTTAAGTGGCATATCCCCACACTATCGGTTCCTAATGAAGCCATCCTTATTCCTCCAGATAACGTCATAAAATGGGATGGTGAGGAAAAGGATAATTGATATATAAGGTTTATGAAGCTTGTGGGACTTTACAAGGGCCGCAGGCGTGAAAATAACGGTTTGAGAGCGATTACATATTCCATACTCGAAAATGACAAAAGGGATTGGGAATAGAGGGCTCAGACAGCCAGTTAGATAAGTCAGTGAATTTTAAATGATACAGGAAACAGCTGATAAGTTAAGTGGAATGGATTGCTAAGTAGATGCGCTGTTATAGTTCCAGGAGTCCTATGAGCGCCATCTGAAGCCAGTAGTTAAAGTGATTACGCTCCACTAAACCCACTTAAAATGATACTCTTAAGCGAGATTGGAATAAACGAAAACACAAGTGTAGATAGATAAATTGGGAATGTGAAATGAAATTAAGTTGTGAGGATGCAGCACTAGTAACCAGGATAGAGAGGATATGGAAGAAAAGATGAGCTGAATGTTAATCAATGGAATTGCCTTGTCATTTAGACGAGTTTTAACTCAGTGCTATGGTCGGCGCCTCTCACTGATGATGTCAGTGAAACGTCTAGGAATGTATAGTCAGCGATCCGATGGTGAAATTTAACATGAATAGTATGGCAGAGCACTACAGCCTTGTAGCTATGGGAGACTGCAAACAAGCCTAAGGCTTTGCCATCTTGGTCTACGATTAATAGGATTCGCAGATAAACGGTATTGGGGGCGATATCGCCTAAGTCAGAATGGCGGAGGGAGAACAGCTATATTGTCATGAACGTTTCTCAGCTAAAAATGTACGTTAACCACTCAATATAGTGAAATATTAATACCTGTGTAGAATTGGCTAATTCTGGAATTGTCTTTGCAACGGCCTCCATTCCACCGAGTGCCTGCAATATTTGTGCTCCAGACATATCGGTGTCTTGCGAAGCCAGATCGTAAATTTGCTGAGCTGTCTCGTAAGCGAGCTTGTACTGGGAACGAATTATTGTTCGTCCATACCAAACACTGATTACTTGATGGGTCTCTGCATTGAGTTCCCAAATCACACTGACCGCATACCTAAAGAGAGAGGTGATTCCATATTAGTTATTAATTTAAAAGACATATTTGTGTGGTTGAACAAAATGCCACAAAATATCATGAGTGTCAGATAACATGGGACTAGGTACGTTCCATAAGGTCTTCCTTTTATCCCGACCAGGTTGCGAAAACGAGGTTAAGCTAACATTATACAACTAAAGAAAAGTGATATCAAATTTAATGTCACAACATATTGGTCTTGATATTTAAGATCCAAACAAGAGTGAATTAAGCAAATAGTAGTTATTTAAAATGAATGTGATAGAGTGGATCGTAACTCTCTTTCACAAGTACTCATGATAATTTCCAGCATCTGAGTGGTGTCTTGATACATTTCTAGACGTTTCCCCGGCATCATAGTCTGCATTGTTACTAAAAGGTGCCATGCTTAGCACCGAGTTACAGCTCTTTAAAATGATAAGCTGACGAGTTAAAAATCTGTGCCAAATATGGCGCCTCTGACGATGCTGATTATGATGCCAGCGAAACGTCTTGGAACATATCAAGTCAGCAGCAATACTGGAAGTTATAATGAATATTATGTCAGATTACGAGGACTGGGTAAGTCCTACAAGGTATCTCTATTCCCCTGACTATGCTGAGAAAACGGGGTAAAAACTAAGGCTATTCAACTATAGGAGATTGCAACCAAGCCTAATGCCATACCGCCTTGGTCTTCATATATAAGCAAGAGTCAATTATTAAAACGTTAGAGATATGAAATGAAGAGGAAGAGCTCTGTACTGCATCCCTTTCTTTGGAAAAGATTTTATTTCGTTAAAAATTGCATCTTAAAATATACCAAAAGTTAGCCTACTATATGCGATACCATTCGATTCTATTTAAAAATAACCTCATAGGATTTTAACTACTTATTTTGATTCCTTATTCGTCACTAATGGTCCCATGGAAACAAATGAGCCGATCTATAGGGGAAGAAACATGTCGTAATAAT